AATGCCTTGTCAGACAGTCATACAGTATCATTTTTGACCATCTACATTTCTTCCTATCTTGTTCAAACTCAATCGCAGAAGCTGTAGTAGCTATCACAGTTATATATATATATATGTAGCCTCTTACGAAAAAAAAATCAAGAGATGGGGAAATAATCAGACAAGGGTGCTTGGAGGCTGTACTTCAAATTCTGATTAGCTAGGTGTTTGGTTTTTTTTCAACTCCTAAGAAAATTTGTAAAAGTCAGTGGAAAATGCATTTTCCATGACTGCAGCAAAGGGAAGAGGAAAGGAAGTTAAGATATACACTAAGAAATCTATGAAGTAAAGATTTTTTCTCTTGGTCTTACCGTGTGTTGTTCTTCGATTTGTAGTAGTAGTGCAGACAGTCAGTACAATGATCTGGTCCTGGCCCATCACACCCTACTTTACTGCATTCTGCATTGCAGGGACCTGTAATAAAACCAGAATTTGCGGGGGTGGGGAGAAGGGATTAAAACTTCTCATTTAGTACTTAGCACCCCTTAAAACATAGTATTTTAATGCAGAATGTAATTACTCTGTTTCCTTGTATGATCTGAATTTCAAATAGTAATTTGGGTCCACCAAAAATAAAACTTTTTTAGTTCCTGAAGACCTTGCAAATCCTGGCCTCAGTATTTATTCACAGTGATTTATAATGTTTAGCAAGTGTGGCATCCTCTATAGCATTTATCAATGAGAAACTATTTCTGGACCCAAACATGTTTTCCTAAAGAGTAAGAAAAAATTCTGAATTTTATTCAGAAATATGTAAAGGCTTCCATAATTTATGATAAGGAATTATTAGCAAAATCACTTCTAACAAGCAGGTCAACATAACTGACAAACAACATGATTAGTCGCTACTCTGGTTATCAACTGGGTAACAAGTGGTCCAAGTGGCTACCACAGCCCAACAGAAGCAGTCACCAGGGCCCAGATGCACTTCCCTCTGTGCTGCTACGTGCTGCAAAAGCCTCAGCTAATACTGGCTGGTTAGCAAGTCTTCCTTCTCACCGGCACTCGTGTTGGACTTGATGATCATTATGGGCCCTATCCAACTTGAGATATTCTATGGTTCTATGTTTACAGTTCTCAACTAGGTTCTTCCTCCTATGGGAAGAGAGAATCACCAGCTCCTGCCATTATGTAGGTGAGCAAAGCCTGTGGGTGAAGTTAGAACTTTCAGGGTCACTGCTCTCTCGTGAATTAAATGTGTTGAGTTTGCCAGCCACCTTGAAATTTCTCCTAACGTCAGGTAAACTTGAAGTAAATTGAGTTTGCTTCATACAAAAACTTAAGAAGCTAGTGACCTTTACAGCAGAGATAGTAGGGTTTCATCACACACCAAAACATAGAGTTCAGCAGCTCTCAATCTAAAATAGGGACTGTGGGTCTGACATGATGTGGCACGAGTCTGTAATAACAGAAACTTCAAAATTGAACTTTGTCCTGCTGCTTGCTTGCCAGAGGTATGCTTAGGATTCATCAGCCCTAACCATCTACACGATGCTCCTAATGTTGGATTTCATGTAGGAAACTGCCAGCTTGACTTATTTTGCAGTGGCAAAACTCTAACTTTATTAAAGTCTAATGAAAAGGTTGAAAAAATTCTATAGGGATCAGTGAGAAATAACACAGACGTAGATGATAATGTTCTTCAGATATATGTATGTGTGCATATGTATGTATATATATTTTTATATACTTACATGAAAAGCAGTGCATCCTTCATAGTACGTTAAGTGTAGCTTAAAAATATAGAATTACACTTACAAACACATAAGGATGAGTTTGTATGTAAATTTAAAGTATAATAAAATAATAATAATCCCCCCAACTTTAAATTATGAAACAAATAGTTCTGATCTTAAATTAAGAATCCACCTCACTGAACATTTTACATATGCGGAATCCCAGGTCTCTCCTTCAACCGATTATGTGTTCAGTAAATGCACAGTCAGAGTAAATGAATGTACGCACCCGAATAGTCATCTGTTCCATAATCTTCTGTAGGCTCTTCAACTGGACTAGAGCGGACTCTTTCCACTTTTGGAAAATCATTTCTTGGTGAGTAAGGCTGGATGGATGTTCCATACAGGACTAAAGACCACTCTTTCAATTTGCCTAGAAGTTAAGTATTTAAAATATAGCTTTAGAGACCATTTCTGGTTTGTGTGTTTTACAAAAACATATTGCTTGTAAATATGACTTTGTGAGTAGGTACGGAAGATGTTGCTTTTCAAGTAAGTGCCTTCAGTTTAATATAGATAGTGAAATTTCTGCTTCACTATAAACTAAGAAAGCATACTTTCTTCAGTCAGATTTTTACACAGTATTTTCATTGTGCTCCAGCCTCTTGTAGGTCTAGTAAAAATCTGCGCCATAGGTTGAACTCAATATAAAAAATAAACAACAAAAACTTTGGCCATACAGTTATTTGGAAAATGTCTATGGTACTCAATAAGGAGTTTTTGCTTTGGATTTCACTATCCCTCAGAACATTAATTATTCAGTAATTATTATTTGAGATCTCTTAGTTAACTAGCTGTATTCAGAATTCTGACTTAAGACGGGGGTTACGTTTTGTTTATTACTCAAGAGTTCTTTTCATTGGCTTACAGGACACACCTTGATGAACAGGGAACAACTTCTTTTAAAATCCCCATGGCAGAACATCAGTGTTCCCACCCAAAGCAGCATAATTTCCTATTTATTTGCCCTAGTTATTTAGCAGATATGTCACTGCATTGTCTGTGTTCATCATTAATATTTTATCCTCTCAGTATTTGAGTGAAGAAAGAAAAAAATTGTTTGTCTGCCTGAAGCATTATCTGACTTTTTGGTCAGTTTTTTTGTGGAAGAATAAAACCATGAATGTATATCAAGTCATCAGTTCAGTCTGTTAGGACGCAAGGTGTGAACTTCCAGTCCCCACCTTTCTGTCTATACTACCCAGTGAATTAATTCTGTAAAAGAGCAAAAGGACTCAGGCATGAAATAATGCCTAAAGTAATTATGCATAAAAACCACATCCCTGCTTGAAAAGATGGAATGTAAGTTTGGTCTTATCCTATTCTCTTGATTATATTTATCTGTGTTGGAGTAGCTAGTTGTGAATGTCAAATTCTCATCAGAAGAGAAAGGAAACAGAAGAGCAGGGAGAATTTATTTTCTGAATTTGAAAGATACTGTTTTGGAGGCTGTTCTACAGTTAAAATACTCTTCCCTTAGAACTATTATTTAAAAAGAAATGTAATCCAGGTATGTCTCTTCTCAGGAAAATCACTTAGTATACTGCCTGTAAAATTAAATTCAAGCAATCTTCCTCTTCTTTCATTTTAATGACACTCCACACATTGAGCTTTAATATTGCTCACTTGGACTTTTTCAACCTGTGCAAGCAAATTACTTTGACCTTTACAAGTGATTTTCTGTGTTTTTCCCAACGTCATCTGGTATCCTCCATCGACACGACCAAGACAATACATTACCTCTGTGCTTCTACATTCATCCTTCAAGCAGTAAGCAACAATAATCAAAACCACTACCTGACAGATGATAGCCCAATTCTTTTAAATGGTTTATACTGGGGTTAAAGATGGGAATCTCTGTTATGTCTCTGTCTTTTGCCAATCCAATTTAATCTCTCTGGGACAGAAATTTCTACACTTCATATGAAATCTTCTCTGCTCTATACTCAGTTTTTGAGAAGAAACTATAGGCAAGAGACTACATCACATGACTGTTTCACACAGTAGCTTCCAACTTTTCACAGCTAAAGCAAAGCATTACTTTTTTCACACAGACATTCAATCCTGATTTTAAAAAAATTAACCGATGAAGAGTCTATGAAACCTGCTGCCAAACTACTGGCTAATTACTTTGGCTGTAAAACTGCCTGCATTTTATTTTCAAATTGTCTTTTCCTACCACTAGCTCACAGCCATGTAGCTCTTTAGTCCGCACAAGATTAAAAAGACCCAAATTATGTATTTTCTTCCTGTACAGACATGTGGGGATCAAGTTATCTCTCAATGTTCTTTACAGTGATTCAGCTGGGTCCTTAAAGGCACTTTTCTTTTTAGGAAAGGAGTCACACAGGGAGCTCATTTTTAACCAGATACTCAGTCATCTCTACAGCCTTTTCAAAGCTCCAGCTTCTCCATGTAAAGTCTCTTGTCCTTTTTGTGTTTTAACCCACTTCTACAGCATATGGACCATAATATATTTGATATAATAAAAAATGTGTGTTTTTCTAAGTTTTTCAAATCTTTTCATCCTCATCATTATTATGCCCCAAAGATCACTAAACTTTCCCAGGGCTGATTTTATACTTCTTCCAGAATACTGGTAAAAATACTGAATACCAGAAAAAAGTATTTTCAAGGACCCACTAAAAATAACCACAGGTAAAGATGCTCCTCAGTCACAGTGTATTGTGTCTGGACTTTACAGACATGGAAGGGCTTGTACTGACGTTACTGCAGGAAGGATTGGTACTTTGAATACATACCTAACGCAAAAGGGCAGTGAGGGGAATAATGCAGGGTCTCTCAGGAGATTAGTTGCCTTTTAAGAATGGTTGAGTAAATAAAGAGGGGAGAAATCTATGTGACTTGCCAGAAAATAAATGAAGTCTGCCTCAAGGCAGGTTTAATTTGAACAATGAAAATATTTCAATGACTAAGTGTATATACATACATACACACTTTTATAATGAATAAACAAAGTGTGCACATTTAATCCAAAATCTTTCTTTCCCCATTTTTGGCTGATTCCATCATTTAGTTTGGCTAGACTAATCCTTTACCCTGCTTGTATTTAGTATTTAACAGAGATCCCATATTGTATGTATATCATACATACAAAGAAAGGGCATATCACAGTGTTTCACAGCAAGCACATGTCCACCCCCATAAACTATACAGAATTAAATGCAGAAATCACATGCACTACTTTTATGAACTGGACCCTGCATTTCTTTATGGGTAACAGATGTGGCATTACCTTGCCAATGCAGGGATATGATGACATGTTGGCTCTTTGTTCTCAATTTGATTACAGGAAAACTGCAGCTCTTAATTATAAGACCTTTCAATAGCTAAACAAACACTCACACACAACAGAAACAAGAAACAGGCATGATGGTGATATCAGTGTGATAAACTGCAGGCTATGGTGATAAACCAGAGAGGCACCATAAATCGTGCTCAAGCACTTTTTGTTTACTTCATGTTCTGTTCAGTGCGGGGACTATGCCCAACATGCCCAAACAGCTGAGTTTATCCACCACTGATATATGGCAGGCACTTTCAAATCTTTCTGATCAGAAGTGTTACTGGACAGCTTCCATCACAGGGCAACCACCACTCTAGAAAGCTGGGGGACGTATTACTAGACAGTATACAATGAACCAGGATCCAAATTCATAACCAGACTGCATATTGTGAAATCCAAATGCGTCTAAAAACCTAACCAGTCTCAAACACTTTCACATTGTGGTTAAAAGAAAGTAAAGCGGAATTCCTTCAGTGTACCAGCTTCCTCCACAACCCTTGGTAGGGCAGGTCTACTTTCTCCTCATCCCTTGGCCTTACTGCTCCTTTTCTTCCAGAGCTGGGTCTTTAGGCTTTAGTCCTCATGGAGCAAAAGAAATCAGTCCCATGAGGTTAGCCGCTGTAGCACTGAGAAAAGTATAGATCAAGTACTTAAATCAATACATCAGCAAGACCTATACAACTATGTATGTAAAACAGGAGTGTGCAGGAACAGGTTTTAAAGTATAAAGCTGGACATGCAGTTAGCCACTTTTAGACTGTCCTGGTGACATAAAAGGGCTGCAAAAGATGTCTGAAGAGTAGCCCAGATGAACAGTTTGCAAAATGGCTCCACACTACCTCTTTTCTAGGCCTTAGTACAGGGAGTGTGCCAGGGAAGAGAGAAGAGGGGAACAGCTGAAATTTGTTCCATGGTGGCTCTCCTTCATGCCTGTTGGATGAACCATGGGTTCTGGTACACAGAAAGGTGAAGAGCTACCCTAACTTGTTCTTCAAGCCAGAGACGTTCCTGACTGCGTCGGGAATAAAAAGTGCAAGGTGGAGTACAAATTCATTGATTTTTGTCTCTTTTCAGTAATCTGATTAAAATGAAATTAATTAGTGGTTGTTTAATACCTCCCCTCTACCAAATTCCAAAGCACTGAAAATAAAAAAACAAACCCAAACACCAAACCTTCCCCCAAATCCCTGGACAGTTCTGCTCACAGTCTATGGCTGCTTTTCCAAATTAATACCCCTTTTCAGTGTACTGGAAGCTTTGCTCTACATTTACTGATGCTGCTAACATCACTTGGTTAAGAACCTTTCAGCTCTGCAAAACCATGGTGAGAAGTGATCACTGCAGATAAAATAAAGTGAAAATTGAAACACTTGGCAACACTGAGCTTTCCTTTCAAAGCTCTGGAATATGATAATCAAGGTTTTCAAAATGCTGTGCTTAAAGTTAACCATGTGAGTATACAGCTGGCATTTAAATGACACTGGGCACCCTAAAGTTACCACAGAGTTTAATAAAAAAGTTTTTCTCTGCTCAGCAATTTTGAAAATCATGCTGATTATCTTGGTCTCCAATAGGGACATATTGGCCTCATATTACAAAATTTTGTCTTATGACTCAATTTAGCATCCAAAAAAAAAATTCAGATTATGCAGACAACTGAGACAGTCAATAAGAGAATATGAATTGATGGCCAGACAGGCAGAGAAACTTTTTTAAAAAGCAGAGAGGTTGGCTATCTGCCCATCTGCTGCATTAAAAAGAATATAAGTCTGCTAATGAAGAGCAGACATAAAGAACTAAAATTCTCATTCAATTCCATCAATTTCAACAGCAGTTGAGTGAGGCTGATCTCTGTGTTAGATTTTTAGACAGAAAATTATCTAAGCTGCATAAAGTCAGCACTTCTGTTTTGTCATAATTTTGAAATGAGAAGGTTAATTTTTGCCCAACGTAAAATGTATGAACGCAGTTGGATTTGGCCTATGCACCACTTGGAATAGGAAGGAGACTGGACAACTCCATGTTCACACATTAGAATTCCTCCTGTGTCCTGGCTTGCCCTAAGTCATGATGGAAATAGTCCTACTGAGTTTGCGAGCTGCAGGAGTGATCGGACCAGCTGGCCTCCAGAAAGGCACATTTACCTTGAACAGGTGAAATGCACCTAGCCTTCATACCAATCTGAACAACTCAACAAACCAAATTTCAACGAAAAGGAAGAGAAAGTAATCCATCTCCATATCTGGCGGCAGAAACACCAATGGGCCTTTCTTTGACAAAGTAGAGCTGAAACAAGTAACATTCCTCTAGAATAGTCAACTACATGCACGTGCCCTATCACACACTATCCTTTCTTGTTTTCAGCTCAAAGCTTTTAAACACTTCAGTTCACATTTTAATCAACGTTTCTTTATGTGTGCTTTTTCATGTAGTAGAAACAATAAAAGTACTTATACTTAGTGAGGCTCATTTGAATAGTTTTAATGACTTCCAGTAATCTATACTAATTCAAGGAACAAACATACTTAAACATCCCCCATTGTCAAGTTCACAAAGATATATTTTCATAGCTTCAAGTACTTTAAGTTAACATCCATGTCTTAAAATTCAGAATTGACTTTAGCAAACCAATCAGAAAACACTTACTGCTTTGTGAGTTTACTTAGCTGCCTGAGATGGAATGTATCTTTTATTTCACTGAATTATAAACTAATTCAATTGCTGATGCCATTGTAGTCCTAAATATATTTCTTAGCAGACTTCTTATTATTCGTTTTTATCTATCAGAAAGCAGTAATCAACTACTTTTGTCACTTCCAGTGTAGTATTATTGCATTCTGACATGCTGCCCAATCAGAGTAAGTGTTAATTTAGATTTAGTGATAAATGATTTCTAATACATCAGATGTATTCATCTCTCTAACACATTTTAATCTAGATTATTTGTTTAAGTGATATTTCACCTTTGATTATTTTTGTTAAAGGGCTTCCACCAACTTTGATGAGGGGCTCCAGAGGAAGGACTATATTCATTCAGTATTCATGCATAAACAGTGGTATTTTTGTCTGCATATAATGTATCTATTTCAAAATGGTTTTTCAGGTTTAAATTTTCAGTGAGTCCAAAGGCAAGTATATACTCATCTCTCATAACCAGCAAATAGAAGTAAGCATGTATTCCCGTGAGTCTCTGAAAGCCCTTCTCTCAATCTCCATTTCTTTCAAAGTGCTCATATGGAAATATGTGAATGAAACTGAACTGTGCATTGGGAATTAAAAGAAGAAGAATGTCTGTAGCTTCAAAAATTCTTACTAGGAGCACAGTTTGTGAGTGGATGAATGCCAAGTCTGAGCACTCTGCCCATACACACAGGAGCACAATGCAACCTACCAGTGATAGCAAGCCATGATTTCCTTTTTCATATATAGTGGGATTTTGTAGTTGTGTAAACACTGATAAATGCCACTTTTTCTTATGGGAAGGATAAAAAATTACAAAGCAAAGGAAACCAACATGAAAATAAATCCCTGGGCCCTATATAACTGATATAGGCCAAGTAAATATGGGCCCTATATCAGCCATGAAAGTCACAGGCAATGTGAATACAGCAGAGTAACTCTGCGCTGCTCTAACTCATGTTGAAGACCTGCCTGACAAATCTGTATTCAACATCCAAGAAAACAGATGCTTGCATGTGGAGATACTCTAACTTCTTTCAAATGTGGCATATGCAGTTCCATGCAGTTTTGTATTTTTTTCCTTGAAAACTGTGCCTAGTAAAGATTTGGCTTTGTTTAAAGCACTGACTCTTGGTATCTGGTCAGGTAGTACAGGGGTCTGTCTCTGCCTGAAGAATTCATGTCAAGTATGATATAGCTTTAAATGGCCAAAGTCTTTTTCTACTTTGAGACAACACACGTGACTGCAAGAAAGAGGGCAGTTCACCTCTGAGAAGATGAAATTCTCCATGGAAACCAGAAGTAAGTTCAGAATAAAAGAGAACCACATGTCTTAAATGGCAAATAACAGCAACATAAAAATGAAGAGTGCATTGATAACTGAAATTAAGAATAATGCTCTTCACAGCTCTGCCTTCACACTAAAGCCAGTGAGATGTTCCAGCTGTAAATAAAAATTGAAAAACAGTCAAGGCAGTGTTAGCAACTGCAAGCATTATTCTGAATTCACTGAGCCCAAATAAAAGTTAGAGTCATACCTGGAGTCTTGAAATTTCTCAGCTGAGATGGAGTGTCACAGATTTCCAAGATCCAGTCACCCGCTGCTTTTTCACTCCAGCAGTGAGTAGTCATAAACTCCCAGTTTTTGAATCCTTCCATGGAATGATCAAATAGCCTAAAATAAATAATGACATTGTTTTAAGCAAACCTTTTTATTTGGGGAGCTAAGCCTCCAAGTCTGCAAACTCTTGAATGATATATTAATTAGCCAGTTCATTCATCTGTGCCTTTACATAACGTTACTCATGATGTTTTCCCACACATACTTCAAATACATTCAACAGTTTCTCGTTGTTTTGATGGAAGAGATTCTTTACATGCCATCATTTGTCATAACGTGAAAGAGAATGGAAAGAGAACTCATTGCAAAACTCTTTGATAGGATTCATGTGTCTTGGGAAAAGTGCACACAATACAGCATATCCGTTGGTTTAACAGCACAATGTAAACACAAACAACTCGCAAGTTGGAAAATTTCTGTAAGATTTATTTTTGGCTTGGGATTGAAATAGTTAAAAGGGGTTTAAAAACAATAAGACTTTTAAAGTGGCTGAGACAATATTAGCAATTCAATATATGTGACTCCTTGTGAGGAAATAAAATGTAACTGAGACGTTGGTCTCAAGCCTCAGACAACCAAGGTATCACTCTCTTCAAAGACTTAACAGAATTGAGTTTGGGTAAAACTGAGAGACTAAAGGCATCTGATGGTTTCATCTAACCAACTATATTACCATAATTTAATTACCTAGGTGAAGAGGTTGGAGCTTAGGCCTGGATTATGATAATTTCTAGTATGGGGGCCAGTTCAGAGGCTGCAATGTGATGCTGATCCCATGGGGCAAGGGAAAGGAGGACTGGCCAGAGATTTTATTACATAAAACTGGAATTTATTAATGAGATTTTGGAAAGACACAAGAGAATTTGCACTTTTATTCAGTGCTTACAGCATATTCCCTGGTACCCCAAAACTATTGATGGGAGGTGCACCCTGATCAAGTCTGTTGCCTCCAGTAAAATGGCACAGCTCAGCTTTAAAAAAATACATATATATATATATACCCCATACAAATGTATGTATATATATTTCTAGATAGATACATGCATATACATACATATATGAATGCATACCTGTTTTTAATATATATACATACATATATATGTATATATTTATATATATTTATCACTATTTTAATTTGGTCTTTATGTGTGAAAATTCCACTCGTAATAGCTATGCTTAAATATTTTTCATAAAACAAGATCTCTACAGTAGAAAACCTAATAGATTTAAAAACCTTTTCCACAAAATAGAGAAAAATCTAGTATTAGACTACAAAAATATTATGGTATTTTACACTCACTTTATTCCTTACTGTTAATTTCTACACTAATTTCAAGCTTTATTCTCAAAAGGTTCAGCAATCATTGGGAAAGCATACTTTTGTAGCAATGTCAGTATGTGTCAATTTTTGGTAAAAATTGCCACACAGGATGTGAACAAAATGCCAAACTTCTTCCCAGAAACTTTGGCCAGTCAGAGGCATCGGGTCAGGTACTGTGTATCCACACTTACTTCAACAGGAACTGTATGGACCTGCATGCCTAGTGGTCTTTATGGGACTCATCCCAAAGCTGATTTTCACACTCTCATTTGTGCAACCTTTTTCCATTTTGAATGAATGGCTATAATAGCACTCTTTTATTAGTGTTGATAACATTACATTAAAATATAGATATATATTTAGAATTAGGCTTCATTTTCACTGATAATTGGGTGTGATTTTCTTCTGATGCAGTTCTGTGCCTCTGTGTGTGTGCATCTATATGTGTTTATATATATTCTGCAAGCAGAATTGGCCTGTCATGTCACTGTTAAATCAGTTGCTTGAATACAGCAAATCTCACAAACACATGGCACACATCATTTACTGAAAGGGTAGAAATTATTACACAGTTATTACCTGGTGTTTGCATGTGGGTATGTTCAATTTAAGTGATTATGTAGGTTATTTCCAACAGTTAGTCAAATTGTCATACCGTGTTTTGCTGATAACTAACATATTACTTTCTAAACACCCTGTCGATCCATTAAGGCAGCAATATTCCTCCTTGCCATTGTGGCAACTAAATTATATAGTATTATGTTAAGTACTGTGCAATTATATAGTAAATTCTATACTCACTGGGCTTCCATTCACATACATAGAAACACAAGTTGCTGTTTATTTTTACTGTAATTAGTCCAATATTTCCGATAGTATTTTTTGTTTAAGGGTGTCTATTTGTCATGTTTTGGAATTTTAAACGGCTGTCAGATTTCCATTTTAATATTGCATCATTCTTTTAAGTAATTTTGGGAGGAATAGACAAAAATCCTTTATGACTTTATCACAGGTATATAAAAACACCTTTACCTAAAACATGCTAAGGCCAAAACTGTAAGATTTCATATGTTCATCCATGGAAATGGGGAAAATCTGTTAATATTCTTTCATGGAAAACCGACTAGTTTTTTGAAAGAATCCTTCTTTGGGAAAGATTTAAAGTTTATAAAATAAGGTTTAAATTGGAATCTTTTATGTATGAACTGTGATTCTACAAAAGATTCTACAAAAGAGTCAAAAAGCTACAGATCAAAAGAAGAGTTAAAAAAAAAAAGTAGAAAGATACTAACTCTGAGGCTGTCTGTATGTGTATGTTGTACATACTCAATGGTCCAAGTATTTTTGTGTTGCTTTGCTTATGCACTAACGACTCAAACCAAAGAACCTGTGGGGCAGTACATGGATTTCCCTCTCAGTGGTGTGAAATGAATGAATGGAATGATCAAATGTTCAAGCATACTTTTTCTTATTCTGAAAGAAATATATATGGAATAGGATCTTTTCAGGAGCACAGAGCCAGTCCAGATAGTTTATTGATTTTGTTATTTGTCAGATTAAGACATAGTCAAAATTCATACCAAGGACACACACACGGCTTATCATGGACTAGTAAATTATTGGTATATGGTCTGATGAATTGCTAGTTGATTATTACAGGTTATTATAGATTAAAATAGTTAAACAAGTTTATTAGAATAATCTGGTAATTTTTATGACCATGATCCTATACATCTGCAACATCTGTGCTCCTGCATGTAAGATGCTTATAAGCACCGAAGTGAGTAACAGCATTTGAATCTTTATAACTTACAGTTAACATAACCATAACAGAATGTCAGATCTGTTATTCAATTACTCAGGTGGCCTCTATTAGTAATAGGACATTCAAGTTAGGGTGGATGTGACTACATGACTGACTATATCCAGAGAAACTAATTATGGGCTACTGTTCACAATGCATTAAATTTAAAAATAATGACCCTTCTCTCTGAGAAATTTTATGACATACTCATCACAAGCCATATGTAGGTCTACAAAAAAATATATATGTTACAGAGTGCAGAGTAGAATGATTATTGAAAAATTCAAGAGTCTTGGCGTCTTCCACTGCCACCACTTCATCCTAGAAATTGCACCACCTTTCCATTTAAGAATGTAACTTCAAGCAGAAATATTAATCTGTAATCAAATTTTAGACTGAGAGGGAGACAATTAGCCAGTTTCTTGGAATTCCACAAGTGGGAACATAAGGCTAGCCTATCACAGTTAAATCTACCAGTGTTAAAAAACTAAACAAGTGTGTCAGCTTTTTAGTGCAGAATCTCTAAATTCCTAAATGCTCAGTAGAATTTGCTTTAATTTGTTTTAATTTTTAGCTTAATGTGAGAAAAGGTAGTGGGGGTAGGGGATCCATTTGGTAGCACCACCATCACCCATAATGAACAACAAAAGGTAAATGCATAAAAGGAGCTTTTTTATTATCAAGATCTTTTTTTTATCTCAGAAGGTGCAGCTGCAATTTGTATACATGCTTGTATATTGAACTGACCACATCAAGAGCCAGGAAGCTCTGCATGGGCTGATGCCTGGAGCTGCAGTGGAGCAGGGGGCAAGAGGCGGCTATTGTGTCCTCTGTAGCAGCAGTCTTTGTTTATGATGTGCTCCAGCCTACTAAATTGGCAGCCTGACAGGCAAGTGGTCCTTGCCCACTGGTCTAATTGGCCACAAGACTTCAAGTGAACTTAGAGTTTGAAAAGAGTAGAGAGTGCCTTCCCGAGCTGCGCACCTGAAAATGTTTTGGTCAGTTATTCTCCTTAGAGCAGCTCTTCTTCACAGGGTTCAACCACCAGCTCCCTGTGAGATGTAGCCTGTGAAGAACTTCAGACAGCCCCAAGTGACTCAACCAAAGCTTCAGCCAGACCCTACTGCCCACCTGCACTGAACTAGTCATGAAAAAAAGAAATGGTCAGAGAGTGCACAGGCACTTCAGAAGTTTTCTCGCCTACATGTATCAGGGAAGATCACTTAAAACTTCTGGATGTGGATCTAAAGAAGATGTACTTTAAAGGTATGCATACACTTCTTTTTTTTTTTTTTTTTAAATTTCCAGTTTAAATCTGGTTATCACAGCTAATTTTATGAGCAAATGGAGATCCCTGCGTTGTGCTCCATCATGACCTACAGACATGTCAGGCTGCTGAGCTCCACACACCACACTGGTCAGCCAGCTGTGTGGCTGATACTTACAGCTGTCTTCTTAAAAGCTGCATGCGCTTTCCTATTTAATGTGCAGTAAACCTTCAGAAACCTCACTCTAAACAGGCAGAAATCCTAATGCAAGAGCATGAATGAACCTGGTGCCGTATATGTAGACTTTTCCTACCCCATCCTAGGTTTAAAAAGGGATGTCTGATTAGGGTAAGGGCATTAGGAAAACTGACTGTCCATCACACAGTCTAGTTTATTCCAAGTTTCTCAGTGTAGTAAGTGTTATAGTAATATTGAGGTGGGGCTAGTTTTCCTAAGGCTAGGAAAAGATTAATTCATTCTCACTACAGCAGCTGGGGAAAACTTATTGCAGGAAGTAGAAATCCTAGGCATTCTTGCTCAGCCTGTCTTACACAGTTCCCTATTTGGTTCAATACAAACCTCAGAAGCTGAGACATTTAGCTGGACCTTAAGTAAGATGTTAGCCACTTGTCTTCACTCCCACTTCAACTATGGAAAAATA